CTATTTTTTCCCGGGGGAATCCTTAGAATTATCACTGCTTCGCTTTCAATTTGTCCTTGACCATCAAATGAAATGTGAATAATCCGGGTCTTTCCCTTATTTGTTTGAAACGAGGAGCGCTCACGGATCTCTCGGTTCGATAAATAAAAAGAAGAGGATCAAAGCATTTCTTCTGACTCTTTTTCCAATTTGAGAAACGTTGATTGATCATGTGTTTCCTTAGAGGTATATGATTATGAATATCATTTTCATACCTTTTAATTACATATTCTAAGTTGCGATTGAATCGATTACCTTGAAAAGAATTCCCACAAGAGGTCTGGACCCATTTTTTTATGATCTTTGGAAGAGTAGTAGGAAAAAGGGGAAGGGGTATTTACAATTTTATATTTCCTCTTATCTATTAATTAGAGCCTCTTTTAGTGTCACGATTTTTTTTTACTTTATTTGAAAAAAAAAAGAAACTTTGGGATTGCTGAATCAAAAACTACACGAAATTAAGAGAGCAACGGAATCATCATAGTCTTTAAATTTTTTAAAATATTCTATAAAAAAAAAGATGGTTATTGGATTCTTTACTGATCTGGGAAGGAGACCATGAATCCTATTTATCAATATGGAGTTTGATTCAAAAGTTTTCTTTTTAGAAACGCTTTTTTGGATTTCTCCACGAGTGGGTCCATTCAAGAAAGGATCATATATTTTAGCTAAGTATTTTTTTCGACTCCTATCATCCGATAATCGAACTCGATTTTCTAATACATCCACAAGATTAAATTTCTTACCTTTCTTAACTTTCTTATCTAGAATTTTGGCCCTTTGAAATAATTCTTTGCTTAGTTGATTTTTTTTCTTTATTACGGGAGATCCGAGAATTATACAATTCATTCTCATTATTGGAGGTTTTCTCTGTTCTGAAGAGATCCATTTTTTTCCATGATGTTCAGAAAAGTAGATAAATGAGGTGGATACGTGAAAGATATTCGATTTTTTCCATCACTTTGACATGTTTGAAAAAAAAAAGTACAGGCACCCTCTTGTTGTAGGTCGTTCGAGCTTTTCCTGAGAGTATGGCATCAATTACTTTTCCTGGGAGCAATTACTTAAGTACTCGAATTTTGGCTGGAGGCATTTTCTCTACCCCTTCTTACCCTGAAAAAACAGGGAGTCACCTTATGTTCTTGAACCGATAACCATCTTTCGGCTAACCTAGCCTCCTCCGTCCCTCGGGACCAACAAGGGGTAGTACAGGAATATTAACCTGTTGTCCATCGACTACGCCTTTCGACCTGATCATAGGTCCACAATTACAGCTCTGATGGCTTGAGATCTTTCTAACGATGAATTTGGCACTGCTTTTTTGATTACAACGACAATAATGTCACCCATATAAGCATATTGTTGATTACTAGCTCCTATGATTTTAATACACATGAATTCATGCGCTCCGCTATTATCGGCTACATTTAAATAGGTTTGAGGTTGAATCATATCCTTTTTTCTTACCTTTCAGTCAAAAAGTTGAAATAAAAAAAATATTGTGTGTTCAAAAAAAAAGAAACGGAGAATTTCCCTAGCAGCACGACGCTTGTATTGCTCTCCCACAACCCCGTTTTCACGGTTTATGCTGCTCCCATTTCGCTCGCCGCTACTACGGGAATCGCTTTTGCTTTCTTTTCCTCTGGCTACTAAGATGTTTCAGTTTGCTTTTCATTCTTATTATCTTTTTCAATAGCAAAAGAGAATAAGAATGAAAAGTGTTAATCTTTTTTTCATCCTGGCGCCGAGCTATTTTTCCGCAGGGCCTCCCCTACAGTATCGTCACCACAGTAGAGTTTAACCACCAAGTTCGGGATGGATTGGTGTGGTTCCTCTACGCCTAGGGCACCAGAATATCGAACCATAAACGAAAGACACGAGATAAAAGCATATTTACTTTTCATTATGAGTGTGAGGTCCTAATTCTTGACTGGAGAGGACACCAAAGGTCTCTGCCCTTCCATCCCTATCTACTCAAGGTGTGGGGGACAGAGGTTTTGGTTTTTTCATGTTGTCAAAGAGTTGAACAATACAAGTCGATGGCGAGTGCCTGATCGAATTGACCAGATCATGTAGGAACAAGGTTCAAGTCTATCGGTCTGTTAGGATGACTCAGCTGCATACATTACTGCACTTCCACTTGACACCTATCGTTAATGAAAAACGGCTCGTCTCGCCGTGACCTTGAATTCTCAAAACTTCTTTTGCGCCGTCCCCGTAGGGGCATAGAACTCACCCTACACGGAGGCTCTGGGGAAGTTGGAATAGGAGAGCACTCATCTTAGGGTGGGCTTACTACTTAAATGCTTTCAGCAGTTATCCGCTCTGATTCTTTGTTTGGAACTATACCGGTTTTCAAGACCGGAGCTATCAACCACTCAGCCATCTCTCCAAAAGCTAATTTCTATTTTATCTTTATTCCACTCAAGAGAACATGACCATACAAATTAATACCCTTTTCTCTATGATAAAGATATCCAGTGTGAATCTATTGGTCTAGTTCTCTATCCATATATATTATTTATTATATATTCATGATCCAGCATGCTCTTTTGTGAAGTAAAAAAAAAAAACTACCCCTCGAAGTATTTACTGGTTCCCTAGGGAAATATGTTGGTCTCGCAGAAACAATTACAGGATTTCAATTGATTCTTTCTGGAGAATTAGATAGTCTTCCTGAACAAGCCTTTTATTTGGTGGGTAATATCGATGAAGCTACTGCAAAGGCTACGGACTTAACTTAGAAATGGAGAACAAATTCAAGAAATGACTTTCCATCTTTGTGTACTGACCCCCAATCGAATTGTTTGGGATTCAGAAGTGAAAGAAATTATTTTATCTACTAATAGTGGACAAATTGGGGTATTAAAAAATCATGTGCCTATTGCCACACCTTTTCATTTCTTCATTATTTGTAACAGTTCTTTACTTGGGCGGTTCCAATATTTCTATTCCATACATATTTGTTTCTGAATTTTTTGAAATAAATAAAACATACGAAGTTTTTGGAACTACAATTGATCTCTTTATTACATTAGCTAAAAGCTATTTTTTCTTATTTGTTTCTATCATAACAAGATGGTCTTTGCCTAGGCTAAGAATGGATATGTCTTTTTCAGGAGCTAGAGGAAATGCATCTCAAGTACACCAATTAGTCGGAATGAGAGGATTAATGTCAGATCCACAAGGACAAATGATTGATTTACCCATTCAAAGCAATTTTCGTGAAGGACTGTCTTTAACAGAATATATAATTTCTTGCTACGGAGCCCGTAAAGGGGTTGTAGATACTGTTGTACGAACATCAGATGCTGGATATCTTACACGTCGACTTGTTGAAGTGGTTCAACACATGGTACATCAGAACAAAAATATTTCTGGTTACAGTATATTTTTCGAATGGCTCGAAAACAATTCGAAAATTTTCGAGAAGAAAGACGAGGTTCGCCTTCTGGCGTCCCAAGGGGTGAAGGTTTTAATCTCATGAAGTTCATAAGGATTCTACCAAATCCCATAAATCGAATCGCATTTTTGAAAAATACGATACATTTAAGTCATACAAGTAAAGAAATCTATTCATTGATAAAAAAAGAAAAAACATGAATAGTGATTGCATTTCTGATAAAATAGAATCCTGGATCGCGAATAGTGATTTAATTGCTGATAAAGAAAGAGAATTCTTGCTTACTTTCTCTACCTTAACGACAGAAAAAGGATGGATCAAAATTTAAATGTAGCCGATAATAGCGGAGCGCGCGAATTGATGTGTATTAGAATCATAGGAGCTAGTAATCGACGGTATGCTTATATGGGTGACATTATTGTCGCTGTAATCAAAAAAGCAGTGCCAAATTCATCGTTAGAAAGATCTCAAGTCATCAGAGCTATAATTGTACGTACCTCTAAAGAACTAAAACGTCGTAATGGTATAATAATCAAATATGATGATGATGCAGCCGTTCTCATTGATAAACAGGGAAATCCAAAAGGAACTCGAATTTTTTCCGCAATAGCCCGAGAATTGAGACAGTTAAATTTTACTAAAATAATTTCACTCGCACCCGAGGTGCTATAATCTGATATAATACGTTATACTTGATATTTGATGGAGTATCCCCATGAATCGGTAGTAGGATTTATATATATATTATATAAATATACAGGGGATCCATACATAAATATCCATGAACAAGATCTATGGTCCATATACACACATAGACCTAAGGATACATACATTAAGGGTTATTTTTTTGGAGATTCCATGTACTAACTCATGATTTAACATGTACAAAATAAAAGCCTTTCATTTGCTTATTTTTGAGAAAAAAGTATTGTATATGTCATTTAGTATGATTCTTTGTAGGAACTACCCCTAATAACCAACTTGCAAAAAGAATCTGTTTCTCATAAAGGGATTCGTTGTTCCTGACTCATTTATCAGAATTCTTTCCTAAACTACTAGGATCCTAGTTATTAACTATTTCATATTAGCTCTTCATAACACAATTACTATATCATAACATAATCAAATAAATACAAAAAAAAGATAGAATATCCCATATTTATTTGATATTCTAGTATATAGAATATGATACAAATCGGAATCATTTAAAAATACGAATCCAAATTATTTTCATTACCAATTACCTAGAATACTCTTTTTATCCATTTATCTAATAATTAATAATTTATCCAATATTTTTGGATCCATAAATAAAGAATTGGATAAAAAAAGAATTTTCATCCATATCATATAGTAAGATTCTCTTTTTTTTTAGTTTTGAATTCCATTTTGGAATATTTGGATTCTTCCAATTTCTATTATTTATCTATTTCGGTAGAGAATTCCTAGGGGCGCGAGACAACTCTCTCTAAGGAACTCGGCAAAATAGCCCCGTAACTTCGGGAGAAGGGGTGCCTCTTCACAAAGGGGGTCGCAGTGACTAGGCCCGGGCGACTGTTTACCAAAAACACAGGTCTCCGCAAAGTCGTAAGACCATGTATGGGGGCTGACACCTGCCCAGTGTCGGAAGGTTAAGGAAGTTGGTGACCTGATGACAGGGAAGTAGGTGACCGAAGCCCCGGTGAACAGTGGTCGTAACTATAACGGTCCTAAGGTAGCGAAATTCCTTGTCGGGTAAGTTCCAACCCGCACGAAAGGCGTAACGATCTGGGCACTGTCTCGGAGAGAGACTCGGTGAAATGGACATGTCTGTGAAGATGCGGACTACCTGCACATGGACAGAAAGACCCTATGAAGCTTCACTGTTCCCTGGGATTGGCTTTGGGCTTGAAGTAAAAAAAAAATCGTGACACTAAAAGAGGATCTAATTAATAGATAAGAGGAAATATAAAATTGTAAATACCCCTTCCCCTTTTTCCTACTACTTTTTCGATATAGAAATCCTAATTTGTGGAAAAAATATGTAAGTAATATGGAAAAAACACATAGGACTCGAGATTCTAATCTTGTGTATCCGAACCCATTGGTGATTTTAAGAGAACACCAAATGGGTTCTATCATTTCATGGTGGATCCGTAAATATTTTATTTTTGGGCCGAGCTGGATTTGAACCAGCGTAGACATATTGCCAACGAATTTACATCACTATATTGATTCGTTTTTCTAGTTCTTCTTCCAAGTGCAGGATAACCCCAAGGAGTTGAGGGGTTTTTTCTACCAATTGGGGCCCTCCCTTCACCACCCCCATGTGGATGGTCTACAGGGTTCATAGCGACCCTTCTTACTACAGGACGCTTGCCTCGCCAACGTTTAGCTCTGGCTCTGCCCAAACTTTTCTGGTTTACCCCAACATTCCCTACTTGACCAACTGTTGTTGAGCAGTTTTTGGAAATTTCAAGAATCATTTTCAATTATTCGATTTATTAGATACTGAATTTTGATTAACTTTTTTTGAATGATTCATGGAAGAATGAATCGAGGAAAAACCTATGAATGTCCCAGCTACAAGAAAAGACCTCATGATAGTAAATATGGGGCCTCAACACCCCTATTAAACAAGGGTCTACTTTTTCTGGAATATGAGTAGAAGCAATAACAAGATTATTGCTAGTAGAACCTTTTTCAAAATCTCTGGAAAGAGAGTTCACTAATATACCCAGCAATAAGTCATCCGACTCCTTCCAATCGAAATCATGAATGTTTGGAATCCAAATTATGCAAGGACTCCTTCCTATCGAAATCATGAATGTTTGGAATCCAAATTATGCAAGGAGACATTGCTTTTACTAATTTCAATTGAATTGACAATAACTTAATAGAGTTTAAATTCTAAATTGGATTTTTTATAATGAAATTCAACTATTCATTAGTTTTTTTTTATTTTATTACAAACAGAAACTTCTTACAAACATCAAGAATATTTGTATATCTTTCTTCAAATAGAAATACTACTGTTATCATTTTTTGATCAAAAAAAAGCCCTTTATCAGATTTGAACCGATGACTTACGCCTTACCATGGCGTTACTCTACCGCTGAGTTAAAAGGGCGCCGTATTTTTTTATTTCAGTTGCTATAATTATATCACCACATAGATCCTTATTTTGATTTTCTATTTTCAGCCGTTCTTTCTATCCCGATAATGGGAAGCGATGAGTAGGTTTTTTATAGTAATGAATTCTACAATTTTTTGTAGAAATTGAAACACTCAAAAAAAACCAAGTCACACACTAAGCATAGCAACTCCTTCATTCTAAAATGATTCATTAATTTTTTTTTATTCAATCTTCCAAATTTTGTAATTTCTTCAACGTAAAGTATTTCAAATTGTCATTTTTTGTTTTAAAAAAGATGGAACGTTATAAGGGAAAGTTGATTAGTCGTTGTTTAGAAGTTTTGAAATATCCAGATTTTGCATTTCCTCTAGCTCTTGAAAAAGACATTATATGGACTGGATTAAAGGGGTCAGTCATCCTAAAATTGGGAGTCATTTATTGTCGCAAATATTCGCTTGTAGCATACCACATTTCAATGGATTGGCGTAATTTTTCTACCGCATGGACATTCCCATAATGATTATGTTTTTCTTCATTAACGATAGGTGTCAAGTGGAAGTGCAGTAATGTATGCAGCTGAGTCATCCTAACAGACTGATAGACTTGAACCTTGTTCCTACATGTCCTGGTCAATTCGATCAGGCACTCGCCATCGATTTGTATTGTTCAACTCTTTGACAACATGAAAAAACCAAAACCTCTGTCCCCCACACCTTGAATAGATAGGTCAACCTTATATCGATCGTCTTGATTCTTATCAAGAAAAGACAGGATTACCAGAAGCGGTTCAAACAGGCATAGGTCAACTAAATGGTATTCCTTTAGCAATAGCTGTTATGGATTCTGAGTTTATCGCAGGTAGTATGGGATCCGTAGTGGGTGAGAAAATAACTCGGTTGATCGAATATGCTACCAATCAACTTTTATCTCTAATTATAGTTTGTGCTTCCGGAGGAGCGCGTATGCAAGAAGGAAGTTTGAGCTTAATGCAAATGGATAAAATTTATTCTGCGTTATATAATTATCAAATAAATAAAAAGTTATTCTATGTAGCGATACTTACATCTCCGACTACTGGTGGGGTAACCGCTAGTTTTACGATGTTGGGGGATATCGTTATTGCGGAACCAAATGCAACCATTGCATTTGCGGGTAAAAGAGTGATTGAACAATTGTTGAATGTGGGTATTTATGACTATTAGTGGAGGTTCTTTTCTTTTTTCTTTCTATAGTGGAGATAGTCGCACGTAATGAATCTGGAATAGAACCGATGGGTGATGCTTGGTTACAATTTCAAATCCGTTATTATATGTTTGCTCTCGTTTTTGTTGTTTTTGATGTTGAAACAGTCTTTCTTTACCCATGGGCAATGCGAAATAAACGATATATAAGATGCAGCTGTATAGATATTAGAGTCTACATCCAGAAAGCCGTATGCTTTGGAAGAAGCCTGTACAGTTTGGGAAGGGGTTTTGATAAGAATCTACTTCAACCGATATGCCAGTAAAGCAATAAGAATATACAGATAAATGAAGGGGTGAAAGAAAGCTAGAAAAAGGATATTAATGATATAGAATTCTACTATGTAAAGGTTTATTGGTCATCTCATAAAAAGTAGTGTAATAAAGCATCAATATTCAAAATTCATCCATATATGGATGAATATTAGAATAAACAAATAAAGAGCCACGAATCAAGAAAACTGAGAAGGTTGATTCAACAAAAAAGAATAAAAAAAAACAAAATCTTATTAATCTTATTAAAGCAGCTCCATTGTAGTTTACTATAATGTTGTTATGGTATTTGCTGTTGTTCTGGGATTTATTTTTGGTTTTGTACTATTTTTATTTTATTTTTAAAATCGTAACAACATGAACTATTTGTGCTAATGTATATGAATGTGCTCAGTTAGAACTATCTTGCCAAAATGGACAAATAATCTCACAAATACAATTTGCTAGTTTTTGTAATCCAGAAGGTCAATGCGGTTTTTTGAAAAAGGCTCATGGGAAACTTTAAATAGTCAACAAGTAATAGAAGTTGCATGCATAGGAAAAAATAATTGTGGATTTAAAGTGACAAAATAAATGTTCGTGTAACGCTTAGCACAATGAGCGATAATAATAATATATCTAGATTAGCAGTCTACGTGATATGTTAAGTTAATTTTAAAAGAAATTAACTATATAAATTAAATGTTATGGTGTTCAAATTGAAATAAAATAAATTGTTGTATTTTTAATCTTTTATAGGTTAAATTATCTAAACTATAAGATATACACTTGAGATGATAAGATTATATTCATCCAATAAATTCATAAATGAAGATACAAAGTTAATGCAAGATGAGTATGTAAAGTTTAAATCATAAAATTTAATCAACGTAAAAAATTTAAATATTACGATATATAAGATATGTAATGTAAATTTCTTGCTAGAATTGTTAAAAGCATTATATTTAAAGTAAGCAATTAAAAATAAAAATGTTAAAGTGTGATGCATAACTTAATTTATTAAAAGAAAAAAATGTAAGAGGACTCAAAAATGTTTATAAAGACACATTTCACAAATTAAGATGGGTTAAATTTCCTAGCTTGTATAGTGCCAACTAATGGGTTTATAGTTGAAGTTGAATTTATGCACTTTTCTAATGCTAAAAATAACAATTTTGTACTAGCATCTAAAGCGTACTTTGGATTCATTGAAAAAATTAAAACAATATTCTTTTCTTAATGAAAAAAACATTTGATTCATAGCCTAGGTTCATTTCTTAGCTAATTTTACTTTAAAATATTATGTGCTAAACTTTTAATTTCCTTTTGTGTTATTATTTATACTATATTTTCGTATAACATTATATAATGAATTAATGGAAGACGCACTATGCATCAACATAATCTTTGTACAGTAGAAACACTTTAAAGAAAAAAAAAAGCTTACACTTTAAAGAAATAAAAAACTTTCAATGTAAATCCAAAAGGCTTAAGTTTGTGATGTTTGAGAATTTAAATACCAAATCGTCATTGCATTATATATATATATATATATATATATATATATATATATATATATATATATATATATATATATATATATATATATATATATATATATATATATATATATATATATATATATATATATATATATATATATATATATATTTTATAATAATGCAATTATAAATATTTTATAATAGCTTATAAAAATATGAATTTTATTTTATTTTTAAATTATATCTATTCTTGTTGACAAGAGTAGTTTTACAATTTACATGTAATTTTTAGTGTATCATTATTCAATATAAAAAACTAGCGTGCAAATGAAAAAACTGGAGCATATCTTTGGAGTTTCATTAATGAAAATAATAGTCGATCTTCAATATCATTACAAAACAAAAATTATATGTTTTTGACGAAAATCTTCAAATTATATTAATAATCCTTTACTAATATATTTTTTTTCTCCTATACTTTCAAAATAAAAATAAAGTTGTTGTCGTCTTTGATATGCCAATATATATATATATATATATATATATATATATATATATATATATATATATATATATATATATATATATATATATATATATATATATATATATATATATATATATATATATATATATATATATATATATATATATATATATATATATATATATATATATATATATATATATATATATATATATATATATATATATAAATAAAGTATACATCAAACACAAAATGTTTTTATCTTTATCAAGGACATAACAAAATCTTTTACCCTAATTTTTTTACTTATTGCAAATACTAGTTGATATTATAGGACTTGTACTTGATCTTTGTGTAATAATTTTCCATTATTATCGAGTTGTTATCATAATAAATTTAAATAAGAAAATTTAATTATACCGGTAAATTTAATTTTGGGATTCATATATTATACATTAATCATTTATAATTCCATCACCAGAATAACTAATTAAGAATATTTTCAGTCTTTTTAACGAATATATATTTATATATTATTTTTCTTCTAATTCGATAGATGATTAAATGTAAGAGGGTTTAATTAAAGGAATTTGACCATATTTGGCAAGTACTTATCTGTTCCTACGTGCATTATTGTTGTGACCAATTCACACAACAAACAATTCGAATTTAAAATAATCTAATTTAAGTATTGATGAACTATTGCCACTTAACTATGTTCATCTATATAAATCTTTTGCTCAGTTCTATTGTCGCAATAACAAATAAGAAAAATAGTCATATATGTTTACAATGAGTTCATTATGGCGTTCTAGCATTTTCTTATTAATGCTTATAATGTTGTACTCATGTTCGGCCATAGATGTCACGTATGATTCAAATGCTCTCATCATCAATGGACAAAGACGTCTTATTTTTTCGGGTGCAATCCATTATCCTAGAAGCACCGTGGAAATGTGGCCCGACCTTATTCAAAAAGCTTAAGATGGTGGCCTGGATGCAATTGAAACTTATATATTTTGGAATCGTCACGAACCTGTTCGAGGTGAATATAATTTCTCTGAAAATTTGGATTTTATCAAGTTTTTTAAGCTTATTCAAGAAGTCGGACTATATGTCATCATGAGGATTGGTCCTTATGTATGTGCGGAATGGAACTATGGAGGATTCCCATTGTGGCTTCACAATATGCCGGGGATTGAGTCAAGAACCGATAACCCGATTTACAAGAAGGAAATGCAAATTTTTACCACAAAAATTGCGAACATGGCGAAAGAAGCAAACTTGTTTGCATCACAAGGTGGACCCATCATTCTAGCTCAAATTGAGAATGAATATGGAGATATCATGTGGAATTACAAAGATGCTGGAAAGGTATATGTAAAATGGTGTGCTCAAATGGCTCTATCACAAAATATCGGTGTTCCATGGATCATGTGTCAACAACCTGATGCTCCACAACCTATCATAAATACTTGCAATGGATATTATTGTCACAATTTTAAACCCAATAACCCAAAAAGTCCTAAAATGTTCACTGAAAATTGGGTTGGTTGGTTCCAAAAATGGGGAGAAAGGGTTCCCCACAGAAGTACCGAAGATTCAGCTTACTCTGTTGCACGTTTTTTCCAAAATGGAGGTGTATTAAACAATTACTATATGTACCATGGAGGAACCAACTTTGGGCGCACATCAGGTGGGTCGTATATAACCACATCATAGGACTATGATGCCCCAATTGACGAGTATGGGAATTTGAACCAGCCAAAATGGGGACATCTTAAGAATCTTCATGCAGCAATAAAATTAGGTGAAAATGTTCTTACAAGCTATAGTGGAAGGAACGACACAGATCTTGGTAATGGAATCACACTAACAACATACATTAATTCCACTGGAGCTAGATTTTGTTTCTTGAGTAATGATGACAATAATAAAGATGCAAATGTTGACTTACACAATGATGGTAAATACTTTGTTCTTGCTTGGTCTGTCACTGTTCTTAATAGGTGCAACAAAGAAATTTTTAATACTGCAAAGGTTAGTAGTCAAACATCAATAATTGTGAAAATGATCGATGGTGATAGTTCTACTAAGCTCACTTGGAAATGGATAATGGAGCCAAAGAAAGACACCATGCATGGAAAGGGAAGTTTTAAAGCACACCAACTTTTAGAGCAGAAAGAACTAACATTGGATGCTAGTGACTATTTATGGTACATGACTAGTATTGATATCAATGACACTTCTATTTGGAGCAATGCAACTCTTCGTGTATACACTATGGGTCATACACTTCATGGTTATGTTAATAAGAGGTATATAGGATACCAATTTAGCCAACAGGGAAACAAATTCACTTATGAACAAAAAGTTTCTTTAAAGAATGGAACAAACAATATAACTTTGTTGAGTGCCACCGTCGGGCTTGCAAATTATGGTGCTTGGTTTGATGAGGTAAGAACTGGCATATCAGGTGGTCCTGTTCAATTGATTGGAAATAATAATGTTACTATGGATTTGTCAACCAACCTTTGGTCTTATAAGGTTGGTTTGAATGGTGAGAGAAAACATCTATATGATTTGCAACCACATATTAGTGTGTCATGGAATAATAATTCATCTTATATTCCTATTAGAAAGCCCATGACTTGGTATAAGTCAGAGTTTAAATCTCCTTTTGGAAAAAACCCTGTTGTGGTGGACCTACAAGGATTAGGTAAAGGTCATGCCTGGGTGAATGGCCATAGCATTGGTCGTTATTGGCCTTCTCGGATTACAGATGCAAATGGATGCAGCAACAACATGTGATTATCGCGAGAAGTATGTACCGGAAAAATGCAACACCAATTGCGGATGTCCATTAGAAAGGTGGTACCATGTGCCAAGGTCATTCTTGAATGATGACATGAACACATTGGTTTTGTTTGAAGAAATTGGTGGAAATCCTCAAAGTGTTCAATTTCAAACCGTAACAACAGGAACTATTTGTGCTAATGTACATGAAGGTGCTCAATTAGAACTATCTTGCCAAAATGGACAAATAATCTCACAGATACAATTTGCTAGTTTTGGTAATCCAGAAGGTCAATGTGGTTCTTTTGAAAAAGGCTCATGGGAAGCTTTAAATAGTCAACAAGTATTAGAAGTTGCATGCATAGGAAAAAATAGCTGTGGATTTAAAGTGACGAATGAAATGTTCGGTGTAACGCTTAGCACAATGAGCGTTAATAATGATATATCTAGATTAGCAGTCCAGGTGACATGTTAAGTTAACTTTTTAAAAAACTTAATTATAAAAGTTAAATGTCATGGTGTTTAAATTAAAATTGTATAAACAATTATTTTCATTTAATTGCACTGTTACATTGGAAAGCATTTATAAAGACACATTTCACAACATACACTAATTCCACTGGAGCTAGATTTTGTTTCTTGAGTAATGATGACAATAATAAAGATGCAAATGTTGACTTACACAATGATGGTAAATACTTTGTTCCTGGTTGGTCTGTCACCGTTCTTAATGGGTGCAACAAAGAAATTTTTAATACTGCAAAGGTTAGTAGTCAAACATCAATAATGGTGAAAATGATCGATGTTGATAGTTCTACTAAGCTCACTTAGAAATGGATAATGGAGCCAAAGAAATACACCATGCATGGAAAGGGAAGTCTTAAAGCACACCAACTTTTAGAGCAGAAAGAATAAACATTGGATGCTAGTGACTATTTATGGTACATGACTAGTGTTGATATCAATGACAATTCTATTTGGAGCAATGCAACTCTTCGTGTATACACTATGGGTCATACACTTCATGGTTATGTTAATAAGACGTATATAGGATACCAATTTAGCAAACAGGGAAACAAATTCACTTATGAAAAAAAGTTTCTTTAAAGAATGGAACAAACAATATAACTTTGTTGGTGGTATCAGCCTGAAAACACAAATGAAAGAGAATAAGGCTAAGAAGGTGCTTGACAAAGGTGCATGTGACAAAATGTTGGTACACATACCTGAGCTAGTGCATCACCAGGGTTAGCATTATCACCCCCATGGTCGCCAAAAGTTGACTTCGAGGTAACCACAGGAGGTTGTTCTTCGACGCCACCTAAAGTGGATGTCGACCCAAGAATTTTGGCCATCTTCGATTGAGGTGGGCTAGTAGGTCTAAATGCCTTGGTGGGTTTCTTTCTTTTTTTCACTAGAACCTCCTCAGGAGATTCATCAGCATCTGAGGCCACAACGATGGGAGCATCCTTCTTGCCTTTCTTAGAAGGAGTCGAAGGTTTGCGCCCAGTCTGAGAAAATAAAAAGAGACGATACAAGTGTGAGAAATAAGTCACATAGTGAGAAAAGAGGCAAAGGATATGAGATATACATGTCTTCCTTCCATTTCCTTGCTACTTTGAGAAGTAGCAGCCCTAGTGGACGAAGCTTTTCTAGGCACGGCTGGAAAACAGGAGATGGTTGCCTGTTAAATATTGAGAGTTTAATTGCATAATCATAAGTAAAAGACGTCAAACCTTCATATATGTCAGATTCGACACGAACGTCCTGAACCCCTATATGAAGATGTCCTTTGAAACTGTCTAAAGTGTACTTAGTCGGAACCACTCGTTGAGCCTTTGGTTGAGACTGTTGTCGAAGATGTTTTAAATCCTCACCACAGATAAACCAATCTGGAAATGGAGGGGTAAGTGCTACTCCAAAATCAGCAGTAGGCAAGCGAGGAATTTAGGGGGAAATAGTTTAAAAGCTACTTCATAACGTTTCTCACGAGGAGCGGTAGGAGGAATTTTCAAGGTATCTAGTTTTTGCAAAAAGTTTCTTTTCAAAGTAACAGCAGCCTCATGAATGGTTCGACTAAGATCATTTGGTCGATACACAGTTTCAAAGTATTTTTGGAAAGCTTGAATTTCTTGGATGTGAGCGAGCTTACTCTTCTTCGTCTTGTCCTGCACATCAAGGAAAGCCTGGTCAAGTAGTAAGGAAAAGGTGGTAACATTAAGAAAATGCTCATGATAATGTTTCGATCACCAATGGTGGAAATAAGTAGTGCATAAAAAAGAAGGTTCGAAGAACACATGAGAAAGCACTCCTCTCTTCGTGCTCAAATCGGCGAAGATGTCAACAAGGGTTCCTTCGTCGAAGTTGGCAGTATGAAGAATGACTTGGCCCTTCTTTTCATAGAAGCATCTAGGAAAACTTTGAATCAACCCAATTGACGAGAAACCAGGTTGGGCTAGTATGCAATCAATGCTGTTAAACCTCTTCCCAAATTGAGCCTATTAGCAATAAATCTAGGAATTAAAAAGGCTTCCCAGATTGAAACAGATTCATCGTCACCCTGCCCATGAGGCGTAGGAAACGGACTTGTAAACCATGTAAGGTCAAACTTCCTTGCTGTAAAGAGTGCCATACCAGAAGTAAACGCATGGCGTCTAGCAAACATCAGGATGTAACTGGTAAATGCTACTTTGATGGTTTCTCCATCATCGTTGGGAGTCAATTGAACTAAGCGAGGTCCTTCGATGCTTTTCCCCACGATCTCAGCAGAGGTTTCATCAACTAGACCTTTCCTGGGAAGGCCAGCTTCAAACGTGGCAATGAGCCACAACTGAAGCAACCACAGAGGACCATTCAAAGACACAGAATCATGGGCCTCCATGCACTTCAGTCGAGAATCTGTTTCACTCAGGGATTCATAAAGTTTTGCCAGAATGAGTTTGCTCAAGCAGACACCTTTGTTACGATGGAGCTGGTTAGCAAGGGGCAGGTATTTTTTGGCTACCTGAAGAGATTTATTACAGAACACGTATCTCGATAGCCATATGGCGAGAAACGCCACATGTTCCTCATCAGATACGTCATCGGTGGTATGGTTGAAATGGTGTTTAATGAAATGTGTATAAGTGAGTTTGGAGTTAGGGATATGTACATAATCTTCAGCATCGACGTCAGGTTGGTAGGAGACA